TTTGCACAGCATGCAGATGCTACCATAAGGCTGCATGAATTTACATGAGACTAATATTGGGCTCTACTCTCATCAAATTTACTATTAAAATCCATCATGACAGAAAGCGGTATTGCTCAGGAAGCTTTAGGAAGTAGCAGTAGAGGCAGGGGAAGGAGGGACGGGGAGGGAGAGGCAGAGGGAGTCAGACTTCTGGGCAGCTTCAGCATGAAGCTAACATGAAATAAAACTCAGGGTTTGGAAGGGTAAAGGAAGGGAAAGTGCAAATGGAAGACTGTTTATGAGAATTGTAAAGGCATGAAGCACTTTTTGAGACCAATCATGATGAGGTAATTTACTTGATTTACTTGAATTCTGGTCCGAGTGTCTTCATCTCGTTAATTGCAGAAGTTTGTGTTCTTCGGTGTTCTGATGTGTCTGTTAACCTTTTTACAACCGCTTTGGAATTTTTCAAAATTTCTTTTCACATTTCTGTAACGTGCATCATCTCTTTTTTTTTTCTTTGAAGCCTACTTGATCTTGGATTTGAGGATTTTATCAGAGTGGGAAGCATTAGAAAAATCACCAAAGCAGTTCTTCCCCATAGGTAAGAATCTTAATTTTTGAGGGATCTGAAGCAATTCTAAGATGCACGCTGTAACATTACTATTTTGAAGTAATTCAAAATTGATTGTAATACGCATATCTCAGGGTTGTCCTGTCCGTGTTCTCCCCTACCCGGTGGAGAAATTTTACCCTGATTTAGGAATTCCACTTGTTGCTGAATAGAGCTAATGGTTTTAAACGGGAAATAGTAGGGGAGAACAAAGTAATGGCAGTTACAGATTTCAGAGCGCTGTTATTTTCAATCATTGTAATGCCTGTTACAAAATCTTTTTGAAGTTTACATGCTGGCTCAGGAAACGAAAACGAGCAGTTAAAAGAGCTGCTTGCTCTCATGAAAGAAGATTTAACCCCAGCTGAAAAAGTATACGTGAGGAAGAGCATTGAGCAACATAAACTGGGGACCAATAAAACGATACTGCAACAGGTACAGTCAGCGTGGCGGGATGGGAAAGTGGGGATTCGCTAGGTCTTACCCACCAAGCCCAGCCAACGGCAACTGGGAATCCCCTCTCGCACCTGCCAAGCTCCTAGTTTTGAAAAAGAAAACAAATGTTGGGACTAGGACAGGGTTGATTCCACAGGTATAGCTTAGTGTCTTACCTCTGTGTGACTTCTCCGAGTTGAACTTGCAGTTCCTGTTAGTGATATATGATGAGAGAAACCCTTTCTGAGCTGTATTGCAACCTGATTTGGTATTACCGATCTAGTTTACAAGGTGGGGAGAGAAAAATTTCTGAGCACAGCTGGTTGGCATCGTCACCTTGAAACTAAAATTTATATAGTCATAAAGGTAAAAGATAAGGACTGAGCGAAATTTGTCCTGGAGTTGAGCAGCAACTGCCAAGAAGATTTCAAATATATTTTAAGTGTATTTTACTTTTCACTTCATTTATATTTTACTTTTCATCAAAGTATTACCTTTTAAGGTCACCACTTCCTGTAGAAAAAAGTCTCAATTTCTGTTCTTTCCAGTTATTTGCCTTTTCTCCTCAGACCTAGACTGAAAAAAATACCAGCTCGTTGTAGAGCTGATCTGAGCAATTTGCTTCTTGTGCTTATTCCTCGTGGTCTTTGCTGCCACTTTTGCTGCTGGGGCTCAGAGGGTTTTGGAGAATTGTGTAATCTGAACTCTCTCTGTACCAGACATGGTCTTAAAATACATGAATATAGGAATCTGCGAATGATTCTAACATATAAACACCCCACGCACAAGAAATTGTAACCTTGGATCAATCTCTGTGTGTACAGAGTGCTTTTTACTGGAAGTTAGAATATAATTTTTTGAGGCCCAGTGAGTATGAGACAGCATGCAGTAGAACTGCTAAAAATTAATTTAGGTGTCTTGTGCCGCGGAAGCTATAGTTACGTACTGCACAGAGATTAGCTGTTAAATGAGCTTAACTTCTTGTCTGCCTGTTTTCCCCTCACTAATAACAAAGGTGAAGGTTGTGGGAGTGACCTGCGCTGCCTGCCCGTTTCCGTGCCTGAACACCCTGAAGTTTCCCGTAGTCATGCTGGACGAGTGCAGTCAGATGACTGAACCTGCTTCTCTCCTCCCTATCGCAAGGTACAGCCTGCCTTTTGTGTTTCAGCAGAGAAATAACTTCTAGTTAGCAGTGACACCACCTCAAATAACCGCCAAGCTTACACGTCTGTTTAAGAACATGAACTCTGAGGTCTCACCTTGGAGAGCAAGCAGAGTAATTTTAAACTGAGGCCTGCTCATAGGTGCCTTCCTTGAATTACCGTGTTATTTTAACTGTGATGGAGGAGGGAGCCTGATGGAAAGCACTCTGTGATCTGTAAACACAGCACACGCTTTTGTCATAAATAGTTTGGCGTCCCTTTTGGAACTTTTCTTTCTTATTTAGGTTTCAGTGTGAAAAGCTAGTCCTTGTAGGAGACCCGAAGCAATTACCGCCAACTATTCAAGGGTCTGAGAGTGTTCACGAGAAAGGACTGGAGCAGACTCTCTTTGACCGGCTTTGCTTAATGGTACGTACGACTAACCACACCTGTAGAAAAGATGGAGGGTGAAACTGTAGGTCCACTGAAGTTGCTAAAGGAGTTCAGGTTTCGATGTCAGAGGATCAGTGTTTCAGCCTGGCTTTTAATTAAGCGGTAGTTAATTCTAGTTCCATTCTAGTGCATTTCTCTGCAAATGTTATTTTCACAGTGGACAGAAATTTGTAAGCATAACAAATGTGAAAACATGGATTGAAAACCAACGAGAGATTCCGCCTTCTGCTCCTTTTGTGCAGTTTTCAATCCAGGTAGGAGCATCAGAGGCCACAGGATTTGTTCTAACTGCTGAGGTGACTGTAGGATGGTTAAGCCAGCTTACTGCAGGAATTGTTTCCACTTCTTTCTCGTTTGACCTAGCTGGCATTGCAAAATATTTAGTAATTCTTTTTCCTAGTCACACTTTCTGTATCATAATCCTTTAGGGACATAAAACAATACTTCTTCGGACACAGTACCGATGTCACCCTGCCATTAGTGCCATCGCCAACGAGCTGTTCTATGAAGGAAATCTGATAGATGGTGTTTCCAAGAAAGACAGGAGTCCTTTATTGGATTGGCTTCCAACACTATGTTTTTATAGTGTTAATGGGGTAGAGCAAGTAAGTTCTTTAACATTTCCTTTATGAAAGGTCAATATCGTAGTTTTTCCTCCATTCGGTTCCTTTTTGCATTCTGCTGTTTGCGAGAGCTACACTGGAAATCTTCTTCCCTGCTTCCAGACTGAGAGAGACAACAGCTTTTATAACATGGCGGAAGCTCATTTTGCGGTCAAGCTCATCCAGTCTCTGCTCGCAAGTGGAATAGAAGGGTCTGCAGTTGGCGTGATCACTCTTTATAAATCGCAGATGTGTAAGGTTTGTATAATGTAGGCATCAATAAAACAGTTCTCTTAAATGTGTCTGTTTATTCTAAACATAGGCTCCCTTTCAACTAGGAAGAGTCAACGAGGAGTGAGAAACAAACGCTGGATAGGTGAACTGGAGTTGACTGTAATTTCCCTTCCTTATTTTAAAAAAAAAAAAAAAATTAGTCAAAATCTTCGAATTCAAACATAGGATTAAAAAAAAAGTATTTCCATTTGTTTTCCTTCCACATGCACATGCAGAAAACTGGCAAATTAAGTAGTTCGTAATTTCCATAAATGAATTAGAGGCTGTTACAAGCTGGTACGTGTGACAAGGACCGGTAACGGGGGATCTGCTTGCAGTTCAGCTCTGCACGGCTGGAGTCGTACCTCAGCCCAGTCATCCAGGACGTGACATGGGCTGCTGTGATGAGTAAGCGACCGCGCTGGTTGCCACACGGAACGCACCGGTGTTCTGGCAAATACAAGGTTCACGGCGTAGTATTCTCCTGTGATGAGCTGAGGTTTTGCTGTCGCCGCTCTCTCTAGTCTCTTAGTTCGCATCTTGTGTAGACTCGGAGTTGCTGAGTGCATTTGCTCAGGACGAGTGATTGCCCGTGAGGAGCGTTAACCCGTCACCATCCCTCTTCCTTTGCCTATAGATCCAGAACTTGCTCCGAGGCGTTCACTCCGAGGCTTTTGAAGTTAAAGCTGTCCAGGTGTCCACTGTAGACGCGTTCCAAGGAGCTGAGAAAGAGATCATTGTTTTGTCATGTGTAAGAACAAGACAAATTGGGTTCATAGACTCGGAAAAGAGAATGAACGTTGCACTAACAAGAGCAAAGAGGCATTTGTTAATCGTCGGAAATCTGGCCTGCTTAAGTAGGAACGCGCTGTGGGGCAGAGTAATTCATCACTGCAAAGGTAATACCTTCTTTTCGTGCATTTTTGAAACCATGCAGCTCATATCTTCAATTAAACTACGTATAAACACTTTATCGTGTATATATACTATACATACTATATAATAAAGTATATCGTGTGCATGCTATATGAACCAGTACATTTATTACCTATAAAATACAGTATATTGCAGGAAAACACGAGTATTTGCAAGCTGCATGTTTGCAGTTTTACCTGCAAGCTGGCTTTATACCTGAAGGGTATTTGTTATCCACTAACGGGGCTTCTTTTTCTTACCTGGTGCCATCAAAGAGCACGCCAGTAAGGAGAGCTGAAACCCACTGCTGCATGTCTAGTCCTTCCCCGTTTGCTTTTACGCAGACAGAAACAAGTTACAAACAAATTTTTACATACAGCAGTATTTCTGAATAGATAGTACTTAAATAAAGGAAAGAAAAAGGGACTTGTTGCTTTCGGAAGACAAATTTTGAGCAAAAATTTCTAAATTTTGACAAATTTGGAAAAAAAACAATGCTACTGGGGATCACCTATCTCTAGCAAGTAATTCCTGTGAAGAATAATTTTCCAAGTAGAAACGTTACAGCCAATTGATAGGCTGGGGAAATAGATGGTCACATCACCACAGACTAATGCCATGATGGATGCTGTAAAGGGAGATGTAATTACCCTGTTTATTGCTGCTTTTAGGATGTGAAAATGGATTACAACACGTAAGCCAGTGCGAGCAGCAGCTAAACGACATTCTTGAGTGTTATTTGGAGAAATGGAAGGAAGAGGAACAGAATAAGAAAAAGGAAAGATAAAACGTGCGCCTATTTCATGAAGAAAATGTGAATTGTGTGTCTATAGAAATTATCGGAAGATTTCAAATCTGTATTTATAGAGATATTGCAAATTTATATTTAATGTGGGAAATTTTTGTTTGTATTTCAGTGCACCGATACTTCTGGTTTGAGTCCTTGTTTGTATGGCTAAAAATGAATAAATTAACTTTATCTGCTTGATAACTGAAAACCTTTTATGCTTGCGAAGGACCTAATTGTATATTACTATTAAACTTCAGTTGAGATATACACAGAACATCATACCTTAGAACAAAGCTTGCATATTTACAAATGGGTGACATCTAGGAAGGAGCACGGCTAAAACAATTGAAAGGATAAATAAAACAGAGTAATTTCTTCAAAGAAAAATTCCTTGTCCTTAGTCCATTAAATCTTTGGACGTCAACGAAACAAAATGAACGGATTGACCTGTATCTAGATTTTTTAGGATACGATCACTCAGCTGTGTTTGTAAACTACAAAAACGCTGAATGATTTTGCTTTGAGTGCTGTTGTGTCAGAAACTCTTGGACAAGAAAAAAAAATTCATTGCCTTTACCATGGGAAAAGTTTGACCGTAGGCTGTCTCAAAGGTGGACAGAGGAGGCTCAGCGTTTGATGTACGAGTGGTGGGGAGAGGTGGGCTAAGCATGGACATCATAAAATCTCTGGACGCTGCCATGTTGTTAAACTTCTTCCAGAGAAGACTCTGAGGTACGCCGGAGAGCCTGAAGTTATTAGATGTAACAATCTGCTTTCTTTTTATGCAGCTTTGAAGTAAATCACCTGGTGAGGTGCATGCAGTGATGCAGTTGCCACTGGAAAGAAATCAGAATTGTGGGAAACACTGAACTCGTGAACACTTACAGCACATGAGCTGACAAAGGGACTGGTTAGCCTGGGGTGATGTAAGGAGAGGGGATATGGAGGAATAGAGGGAAAGGTTATCTTTAGGAACACAGGGGCTGTGTGTGTGCAGCTTCTCTGCATTAATTTCATACCTGCTATCCGCAACGGCTGGCAGATGTGCGAAAACCCCTGAACTACCTCACTGCTGTGTCTAGAAACAAAAGCAGAATGTTTTGTTTAGTTTTGCCTGAAACCCTATCTCTGCTCTCAGCTTTTCAGGCTGTTGCCCAGGTGCTTCTGCAGAGGCTGCCTTTGAGAAACAGCCTATTGCTTTATGCTTCTATTTCATTAGAAAAACCATTAAAAAAAGAAAGCTAGCCCTATTCTAAAAGCAGTGGGGCTAGCAGCTTCAGTGAGGTGATTTTCCCCTCTGGTGAGACCCCACCTGCAGTGC